GACTGTGTTACAGCTCAAGCTGCTGTTACCTCCTGAGGTCTAAGATAAATGGCAGATGAGGGAGGGAGCCTGGATCTGGTTTCTGAAACTCATCTTCAGAGACAACTTCAGTACTGAGCAGAAACTTTCAGCTTCATCCCGGTTGAATTCAGGATGCCTGACCTGGAATCTATAGAAGGCAAAAACTAAACACAGTCTAGTAGTACCACCTTCTAAATACTCCCCAGTGGTGAAGGATCTTTTTTTCCTGCCTAGATCTCTGCATGTTGATAAGTATTTTTATTGTTTTGATTTTATAGACATAGGTATGCTAAGTGCTTGGAATTTGGGGGCCTTCGATGGAGTCTCCACCCTGCTATTACTTGCTGCTTGTATTCTTTGACTGATTATTTAATTTCTGTTTTTAAGTTGTTGGTTTTTTTAAATTTTATGATCATGCCTGCCTGAGTGTATTTATGTGTACCACATGTGTGCAGGTGCCCACAGAGGCCAGAAGAGGGTGCTGGATCCCCTGGAACTGGAGTTGCAGGGATTGTGAGCTGCCCAGTGTGGGTGCTGGATACCAAACCTTCCCCAAAAGAAGTGCTCTTAACTGCTGAGCCATCTCGACAGCCCTAAATATGTCATTTCTTTGTGTCTTAGTTTTCTTTTTTGTAGAATGGAAACTTTAACCCTTTGAATATACGTCATATATCCTGTAGAACTGTTTTAAGGATTTTTTAAAAATCTAAAGAAAAAGCTTTAAAAATCTAGTTTTCAGGAGGACCTTAACCAGCACATAATAACTTCTCAAAAAAAAATGTTGGCTATTATTCTACATTGAGCCATAAAATAATTCAATCTTTAAGAGTTTTCTTGGGCCAAAGTGGTAACTCAGTAAAGTGTTCAGGCATTGGGACCCATTTGATCCCCACTATTCACATAAAAAGCCAGAGGCTGTGGCATGTGCTTATAATGGCACTGTTGGGAAGGAGGAGATAGCCTGGGACTCCCTGATGAGCCAGCCTAGCCTACTTGTTGAGCTCCAGGACAATGAGAGACCCAGTCTCAAGAAATCAGGTAGACAATGCCTGAGAACATCCAAGATTGTCGTCTTCTGGTCAACACACACACACATGCACACACACACTTCTCTCTCTCACATACACACCTCTCCCACACATACACACGTTCATGAGCACACACACACTCACAAGTGCTCCTTGAACAAGCACAGAACACCTCAGGATGTCACCGTCCCTTATTTCAGTATTTACGAGCCATCTTTCTCCATAGACTAAGGGAATCCTGTGCTACAAAATGGACCTATCTGTCTTTCGTGCATAAGCAGAGCTTTCTAGCTTCCCAGTCTGCCTTTCCTAGAATCTTATTCTCATTTCATCAAAATTGGTTTTTGTGTTCTAAATCCAAGGGCACTTACATGTTCTTCTCCAGATAATTGTATTTTACATGCAGTGACTTTTCCTTGTCTTATCTAATGTCACCTCATTAGACTAACCTCTAATGATGTTCTTTCTGCGGTGCGTCCATGACAACAGCATGAGAACTCTCTGCAGAAGTTTTCCTTTGTCTTTATCACGTGGGTCTCTCCATCACATCCAGCCCTGCAGTCTTTACTAATTGAAGGGTGGTTGGTTGGAATCCAAGGACAGGAGGGTCACAGAACCTACACACAAGTAAGATTCAAGCAGTCTCCAGAAAGCTCCCAGCCCCCCTGTGAGTCCCAGAAACTACGCTAAGCACAGGACTCAACACTTCTCCGAGGTCACACCCACTTTCCCACTACCCAAACTACCAAAACATCTGAACCACAGAGCTTCATGCAGTGTGCCACACCTGAACCACAGTCACAAACCAAGACTCTGGGGACCTTGGGCACAGATTTAGAGAGAACAAGGTACCAAATCTCCTGTGTGGGGACATGCTCACAGGAAGGCAGTGAGATGCAACCAGCCACCTTCATCCTTCCAGGATAACGAACGACTTGGCTCTTTTGGTTTTCAGTCTGTATCATTGTCCAGGCATCACACTTACATAATATGAGTGGTTAGTGAGTCTGTGTGATGAAAGCATTGGGCTTCACGGCACTCATCTTCCCACCCTAATTTCTGCTCCCCGAAGTTTGACAGTATCTGAGCTGTTTCTTCTGGAATGAATCTGTTTCTAAAATGAAGTGTTTTCTGCAGTTGTTTCTGGATCTCTGGTATTGATGTTACCTTTTGACTCAAGCATGGAAGACAGGGATTTGCCCTCACTTCTGCCACTTCTCCAACTTTCTCTCCCTCCTAGTTCACCATGTATGGTATACACTACATATGCATGCATATTATACTATATATGTATATACCATAAGTTCACATATATATATATAAATATGTATCACAACTTTAGGTGAGATTTGTATTAGTGTGTGTATGTATGTGTCTGTGCATTTGATAGTTAAAGAAATTCTGTTTGTCAGTGAGCAGAATAGTGGATTTTGATGATATTTCTACTAGATACAACTTAGGATTTTTGTGTCATTGCTGGGGTTTTTGTTCTGTTCTGTTCTTTTTCTGTTTCCTCTGTTCCTAGATTTAAATCATCCACAGACTCTTCACTGGACATGAACCTCTTCCCAGTCATCTGCAGACATGAGATACTGGATGAATTTCTTTGTCTTCCCAGGACTGTTCTCGCTGGACTCCCCCACCCTTCAGCCGCCTCCTGGAGCTGCTGGGATGACCAGGGAGCTGGTGGCAAAGCCTTTGTCCTGTTGGTCCTGTGTGGGATTCCTGGTTCTCTTCTGGCTCGGCTTAGAAACTCATTTGAGTGAAATGTTCTCTCCACTCACTTCCTGGCTGCTCCTAGAAAATGGGTTCATTGAAAGGAGCTGACAGCTAACTCCACTTTAAGGACTTTATCAGGAGAAAAAGCCTCGGTGCCACAGGCAGGCTGGGTCAGGCCTTGAAGTGGGAAGGGCTTAGGGGGAGAGAGAGACAGAGACAGAGAGAGAGAGAGAGAGAGAGAGAGAGAGAGAGAGAGAGAGAGAGAGAGAGAGATGCACTATAGACAGTGCAATGGGGTCTTGTTGTTGTTGTTGTTGTTGTTGTTGTTGTTTTTCAAGACAGGACAGCCACTCATTCTGTAGACCAGGCTGGCCTCGAACTCATAGGGATCCATCCGCCTGCCTCTGCCTCCCAAGTGCAAGGATTAAAGGCGTATGCCACCACCACCTGGCTTTTTTATTTTTTTGAGACAGGGTTTCTCTGTGTAGCCCTGGCTGTCCTAGAACTTACTCTGTAGCCCAGGCTGGCCTCATACTCAGAGATCCTCCTGCCTCTGCCTCCCAGAGCTGGGATTAAAGGCATGCACCACTACCACCAGGCGAATGGAGTCTTGAAGGGAGAGAGACCCTTCAATTCTCAGAATATTAGGGGAGACATAGAACCATGGCCATAAGCAGCCATGGGGACTGCTAGAGGGAGATTGGGGGCCTCTGGATCCCACAGTTCCCTTCAGATTCTAATAATAAATGGCATTTTTCTGTCTTAGAAGGTTCCGGGGCACACCATGTGACCTCGCCTTTGTGCCAGGAGTCATGAAAGCCGGCACTAGGCAGGACCGTGAGTGCATCCTCCATCTTTAAGGAGGGTGCACTAGGCAGGACCGTGAGTGCATCCTCCATCTTTAAGGAGGGTGCACTAGGCAGGACCGTGAGGGCATCCTCCATCTTTAAGGAGGGTGCACTAGGCAGGACCGTGAGGGCATCCTCCATCTGTAAGGAGGGTGCACTAGGCAGGACCGTGAGGGCATCCTCCATCTTTAAGGAGGGTGCACTAGGCAGGACCGTGAGGGCATCCTCCATCTGTAAGGAGGGTGCACTAGGCAGGACCGTGAGGGCATCCTCCATCTTTAAGGAGGGTGCACTAGGCAGGACCGTGAGGGCATCCTCCATCTGTAAGGAGGACAGCAAGGCTGCACAGCCATGGCAGATCTTACCAACGCTGTCCAAGAAAGAGAGGCAGGGAGCGTTCGTTACAGAGAGAGGTAACAGCTAGAGGTTCTGTGAGCTAACCCTGAGGAGGGAGGAGAGATGGGCTTTTTTGAGGTCTTGCATGTAGAGAAATAGATTCACACTGAGCTCTCATGTCTGACTGGGTGCAGGATGCCAGGCTGCAGACACCTTTAACAAGGAAGTTTGGAGCTGTCCGTGCTTCACCTGACCTCCTCAGTCCCTGTCAGAAAGCTGACCCGACCCCCCCCCCCCCCATTCACACCACTTCGGGAAGCTTCCAGGATCTCTGCGTTGCTCTTGATGTTTTGGAATTCGATGGTGATGTGCCTCGCTGTGGTAATTTTTGCATTCATTGTTCAGGGACTGGAAGTTCCCATCTTTGGTCCTGGAACGTTTCCTCGCAGGACCTCAGTTCTTCCTTCGTTCTGCTCTTTGGGCAGTGTGGAACTCCTGCCACTCTGGTGTCGCGTGTCAAGATGGGTCACCGTGTGTCATCCGTTTCTCTCTATTTGGCTCCTCTTTGAATTCTGTTTCACCTTTTCTAAGGGTTCTTTCCTTCTTAGATTAACATTTCCTCTGTCATAGTTTAAATCTATGAAATGTGTTTCTGCTTCTCCTTTTCTTTTTTCCCAGAGTCTTGCTCTATAGCCCAAGCTGGCCTTAAACTCAAAATCCTCCTGCCTCAGCTTCCCAAGTCTTGGAATTACAGTTCTGTATCACCATGCCTGGTTTGTTTTAATTTTCCAAATGTTTATTTATGTAACACCCCGTTCTGGGGCTGGGGGTCCGGCTCAGCAGGTGAGGCACTTTCTGTGAAAGCACAGGGACCTGTGTGTGCACCTGTAATCCCAGCCCTCAGAGACAGAGGCAGGAGGATGGCTGACTTATGGCAGTGTGCACCTGTAATCCCAGTGCTAGGAGACAGAGGCAGGAGGATGGCTGACTTATGGCAGTGTGCACCTGTAATCCCAGCACTCGGAGACAGAGGCAGGAGGATGGCTGAGGCTTGCCCAGCCAGTCTAGCCAAATCAGCAACCTCCAAGTTCAATGAGAGCCCCTGTTTCCAAATCTAGGGTAGACGGCAAGAGAGGTGACTCGGCAGGTAAAAGCACTGTCCACACAAGCCTGCTGATCCAGACTGAAGCCCTGGCCCCATATAACAAGCCAGATGCTGCAGCACAACTGGAGGCCAGTACTCCCAAGACAAGGTGGTAGGCGGCAAGGTAACAAAAGGTGAGAACCAACTCCTAAAAGTTGTCCCCTAGCCTTCACAAGAGTAGCGTGGTTCACACCACACACACACACATACACACACACACACACACACACACACACACACACACACACATACATGCATGCACTACTATACCATATACACACAGACACACTGTTATACCATACACACACGTACCACATACCACACATACACCACATATGCACATACCATACCACAAACATACACGTATATATACCATACACACTTCTCTCTCTCACACACACACACATATACCATACCTCAAACATATACACACATACCACACATACCTCTCTCACATACACACCACACATAAATATACCACACATACACACCACATATATACAATACACATCACAGCACACACACACACACACCTCTAGACAGATGCAATATGGAGTGAAGTGAGTCACCAGAGGTGCAGAGCCAGTGGATTCTGGGGACTAGGAACTGCAAAAATGCTCCCCTATAGGACTAGGAGGCCACATGAGCTCTATGGTACACACACACACACACACACACACACACATACACACACACACACACACATACCATAAAATAAATTTTGAAAAATTTTAAAAACATGGTGAAAAATGAAGACATCAATATTGACCACCCATGTGTACACCTCACACATACACAATCCTGGTGCTTATTTTGCTTATTTGAGACTATGTTAATAACTTAAAAATTATTGTTTCATTGCCTTTATCTCCTCTTTTCCATCTGTTAATTGGATGCTGGCTTTTTCTGTTCGACGTTTTTCTCAAATGTGTGGTGATCCTTGCCTCTACATTCGTAAGAGATTAATGCCCTAACTAGGAGGCTGGCGTTTATATATAAGAACTCTCAAGTTGCGATCCTTAGCCTCGAAGCCTTGGGGAATACGGGCTCTATTTGTCATTCTCATAGTCGGGCTAATTTCCCAAAGGAGATACCAGACTCCAGTCTAGAAGCAGTGAGGCCGTCTGCCAGTGTGCCGCCGCCAGGTGGGAGGATGATTGGGCATAGGATGAGACCATCTCACCACCGAGTTGCAGATTTCCGCTTGATTGACACTTCCAAGGCAAACACCCACTTCCCCCTGTGCCAAAGTTCTCTCTTTCTTCACAATGTAAACCACAGATGTTTCCAGGATGGAGGACAAATATAGGTTTGAGTATCTCTCATCTGAAATGCTGGCAACTAGACGTGTTTCAGATCTTGGAGTGTGTACAGTGAGGAGAAGTCTTGGGGGATAGGACCTGGGTTATTCGGCATTCTCTAGAAGAGCAGAACTGATAGCCTGTATAGATAATACAAAGGGAATTTATTAGGTTGGCTTCCATGACGCAGGCTGGGTAGTCCAGTCATGACTGTCTGCACACTAAAGAGGTTATGAACACAGTAGCTGCTCAGTCAACCAGGCTTTTGCCTCAGCAGTTCCACTCTGGCCCTAGAAGTCTGGAGGATTCCTGGAGAGCCATGGTCGTCAGCCCACACTGAGGGCAGCAAGAGAGAGGATGTGCTCCACAGCAGGAAGTAAAGGCAGGCAAGCAAAGAGGCACTGTTCTCCTCAGCTTTTTCTATCTGGAAGATGCTTCTCCCTCTGGTTATCCTTCCAAGAAATATCTCAGAGACTCGCCAGAGGCATGGTGCTTAGGTCAGCTGACCCTCCTGTGGGTAAGCTTCATGGGTAATCATAGAGATACTGGTACCCAGGGGCTCTGATTCCTGGAATTTTTTTTTAAGGTTCTTAACATGTGCTGGATAGTTTTATGTCAACTTGACACAAGCTAGAGTCAGCTGAGAGGAGGGAGCCTCAATTAAGAAATTGCCTCCATAAAACTGGGCTGTAAACAAGCTGTAGGGAATTTTTTTAAATTAATGATTGATGGAGGGGGACCCAGCCTATTGTGGGTGGGGCCATCCCTATAAGAAAGCAAACTGAGCAAGCCATGGGGAGCAAGCCAGTAAGCAGCACCCCTCCATGGCCTCTGCATCAGCTCCTGCCTCCAGGTTCCTGCCCTGCGTGAGTTCCTGTACTGACCTCCTTTGATGATGAATAATGATATGGAAGTGTAAGCCGGATAACTGCAATTAGATGAAGAGGACTCACTACGCTTGTCCCGTGTGCACACTCCTCTAGAGTGGTATCAGAGGATGATGGAGGTCCTTGTGCAGGAAGAGTTAGGTTCTAGCTCTAGCTCCTTTGCAGGCCATCAGTTCTGATTACAAGTTCTCTGTGTCAGGAGCAGCTGATGACAGTAGCATGATATAAACATATCTCCTTTTCCTCATGTCGTCAGAAGCTAGCGAGGGGCCCATGAAGGGGACTATAACCCATCCAAAGTGTACATGTGTCTCCCATTACCTTTAGCATCGTGGTTGTTACTTCACCCATATATTTTCACGACCGACCTTATCTGTTCTGTAGACTAGAGAAGTTAGAAAGCCACAGGAGAAGAAGCGGGCCAATCATGAGTTCCCAACTTCTGCAGGCATCTTTTCAGCCGGAACTCCGTTAGATCACCAGCTGCAAAGGAGGCTGGGAATCCTGCCTCAAACACCATCACAATTCTAAGGAAGAAAAGGAAAGGAATATTAGCTGGGCAGCTACTGGTCTGTGTCAAACTAGGCAATGAGTTATTTAATCTCACTTGGCATCTGAAACAGCTGTAAAGTGAGGCTGGAAATACTTCCTAGAGCTGCACTGAGAAATAAAGGGGAAACGTGTAGCAGCGTCCCTAACCTAACATGTACCTCTATCAATGAATTCCCTCCTGAGATCAGAGATCCCCCAAACCCTGCAATGCCCCTCTCCAGTTTGACCTGTGAACACAGCAGCCCATCTGCACATGCTGTGGAGAGCTAAATAGTTATATGAGACTGGATAAAAATTAATCTCGTGTTGGGTGTTACTCAACGCCTCTTGGCAAGGTATTAGTTGAGAACAAAAGTTGGAAATCAGAAGCCAAAAAGTCTCTGGCTAGGACAGAAAATACAAAACCATAATGATGATTTTTACAGGCCATGTATTTTATTATAATCCTTCCTCATTTTCACCCCACCTGCCAATCTCTTTTCACATACTTCTCTGTTCCCTTGGGAGTTTCTTTAATTTGTATTTTCTATTATTTATCTACAGAATATTGTGATGCAGTTATCCAAACATCAGGAGGGGTGTGTGTATATGTGTGTGTATGCATGTGCATGTGTGTGTATAGTGTGTGTATACATCTGTGTGTGTATGCATGTACATGTGTATGTATGCATCTGTGTGTGCCCATGTATGTGTATAGTGTGTGTGTATTCATCTGTGTATGCATGTGTGTGTCCATATGTGTGTATAGTGTGTGTATAGTATGTGTATGTATGTGTGTGGTGTCCATGTATGTGTGTGTCCAGGTATGTGTATAGTGTGTGTATGTATGCATCTGTATGTGTATGCATGTGTGTGCATATCCATGTATGTGTATAGTGTGTTTGCATCTGTGTGTATGTGTGTATGCATGTGCATGCACTTGTGTGTATCCATGTGTGTATATATATGTGTGAGTGTATGTGTGTGCACACTTGCACATAAATACAAAATAAATGCATTTCTTTAATCAGCCTCAGGGCTGGCCAGCTCCTTGTTCCCATCATACAGCAAGCCAGGTTGGTAAGGAGGGTTGTAGCTAGCCCAGCCTGTGGCCCGGGCCTTGGGAGTAGCCCCACAGTCTGTTAGAGCTGGGATGTCTGTAGGTGAGAGCACATGTAGTTTCTGTGGTTTGTGTCCATAGCTCTTTCCTGCCTGCCCTGACCTGGTGTCTTTGCTTCCTGCCCAGTTTCTCACACACACACACACACACACACACACACACACACACACTGGCGTTCATTCCCTGTGACCTGACATGTGCCAGTCTGGCAGAGACTGAGAGCCAGGGTCACATTTCACTGACCTATATTGCAAGGAGCCTTTGTTCCCCTGGCACAGCAAAGATGAGCTTGGTAACGGGGTCAGGATGTGGTGCCCTGCTCGCGTGTGCACAGAGCAGTAAGGAACCAGTCTTCCAGCCGGCAGAACCGGCCGCGTCTGAAATGGGACTGCAGTACATGTCCTCTGGAGATAAATACGAAGGGGAGAAGGAGACCTCTCCTCCTCATGGACAGTGGTTCCCTTCCTGTGGCTCTTCCCTAGCCGGGCTCTGCAGTCTAGAATTCTGGCTGTCTGTGCGGAAAGAGCAGGGGCGCCACAGTCCAGAGGAGAAGCGCCTTCACGGGAAAACAAAAGGCAGCTGTCAGTTGAATCCCAAGCTCCCTGATAACATTCCAGCAGAGTTCCTTTTTCTGGAGATGAAATAAGAGCGCTGGCAGGCCCTCTTGACTGGCCACATAAATCATTTGTAGTAATTGCTCTGAGAGAGGAGAGCCACTCAGCTCTGCAAAGCAGAGGAGGGAGTCACAGGCTGCCATTCATGGGCTCCCTCCCTCCCTCCCTCCTTTCTCTCTCTCTCTCTCTCTCTCTCTCTCTCTCTCTCTCTGTCACACACACACACATACACACACACACACACACACACACACACACGCATGCTCCTCTCTCTCTCTCTCTCTCTCTCTCTCTCTCACACACACACACACACACACACACACACACGCGCGCACACACACACACACGCACGCACACATGCATGCTCCTCTCTTTCTCTCTCTCTCTCTCTCTCTCTCTCTCTCTCTCTCTCTCTCTCTCTCTGTCACACACACACACACACACACACACACACACGCATGCTCCTCTCTCTGTCTCTCTCTCTCTCTCTCTCTCTCTCTCTCTGTCACACACACACACACACACACACACACACACACACACACACACACGCATGCTCCCCCCCCCAGAGCTCACAGAGAGAGACTGCTCACACTGAGATAGGCTCCGAGAGCCATATTTTTGAAAGCATGATAGAGAATATAATAAACAGCTTGATGTTTCCTTTTTTTTTTTTTTTTTGAGGTTAAGCCAGTTTAGATGCTTCTGGAGTCTGGTTTGGGAGGGGCTATTGGAAGAGTTGACAGAGAGAGTGGGAGGAGAGAACACACCGGTAAAAAGGGGGATGACCGCCACTCAGCTTCGTCAGGCTCATCCGTCACTGTGTATTCCATGCCACCTGCTTCTCTCGCGCGCTTTTTCTGATGAAAACTGTAGCGTGGTCATAAAACAATCCCCCTTCCTGTGATCTGGGAGCTGCTGCCGAGGCTTGGCAGTTCACTAAGGAACAAACTCTCAAAAGCCACAAAGCTCTAATACCCTTTCCCCTCTGTGGCCAATAAAGAGGATGATAATAAAATCTTGGGGCTCAGGCATGGTATGGGACCTGCAGTGTTGGCCACGGGCCTGTGACGTGCGCCCTTCACTTACACATTGATGCATGTTCTCTGAAAGAAGTGAGGTCACCAGAGACATGGGGGAGGGGCTCTTTTAGACACACACAATTATTTGAAAAGTGAGTGGATGGATGAATGGATGGATGGATGGATGAATGATGGATGCATGATGGATAACAGAGTTTGAACACAGTTCGTCATTTTGTTAGATACATAACTGAGAATGTGGGGGTCATTGCCCAGCCTCTCTGACAAATGAATGTCTGGGTCTTCTCCATGAACTACATTATAACTAGCCCCCAGATGCCCATGGCTAGAGAGGAGAAATGGGAGAGCAAGGAGAGCTGGAAGCCCACTGTACCCCTCAGTCCTGGTTATAGAACAGCTCTGGCTATGACTCAGTGCCACCATTGAACATGGGACTTGATGAGCTAGGTCATTTCTTTTGTTTGATAAGAAGATGCCTCCAAGTAGTGTACACCGTCATTACTTACATGCCGCGTGCCCAAGTTCCCAGAGCCCGTTCACCGTTGTCGAGCTAATCACAAAGTCAACCTCTTAAGTTTCTTGGCCAATGATCTCCAGCTTTTGCAGGGTACTGTTGACAAAGATATCGTCCTCCCTGAAACGCCCTATGTGTAAAGGTAGATCTGTTCTACCACAAGTTACTCCTGCCTCCGAGGAGCAGCATGTTTGAGGGCACATGTATGCTCTTTTCAGGTGTCATGTCTGTGTCCTGTCAGCCAGGACATCCATTCTTGGCCAAAGCTTTCTCTTGTCAGCCTCACCTAGACGTTACTTACCATTCCTCTCTTGGCTGTGAAGCCGTGTAGCCATTGGTTGAAGACCAGCATGGGCGTGTCCCATGGCGATCAATAACAAAGATGGTTCCTGTGTGATGAATCAAGTACATGAACTTCAAGGCGTTCAGGCTGGGATTTCTCAGAAATGCACTAATACATTTTTACTTAAATCTGCAAGATCCATTTAGGTTTGGAGTCCTAAACAGTTCCACACCAAAATAAAATCCTCCCCCTCTGTATATGTTGTATGTACCTTTGAGACATTGTCTCATGTAGCCCAGGTTGGCCTTGAGCGTCTTATGTAGTTGAGGAGGATTTTGGAATTTTCCTCCTCCTGCCTCTACCTCCCCACTGATGGGATGACGTGTCTATGCCACCATACTCAATTTGTTCAGTGTTGAAGATTGAATCTGGGGCTTCGTGAATATTAAGTAAGCACTCTATGGACTGAGGTACATTCCCTGGACTCCGAAAACCTAACAGCAACAACAGCAATAATAACAACTTACAGTTACATGCAGATTTGTAGTTTTCAAAGCATTGTCTTGTCGGTTGCTAGTTTTAGGCTGAAGAAATCAAAACTTAAAGAAATAAGCGATTGGTTTAAGGCCATGAGGCAAATAGGTTAACAGAACCAAGAATGGAAGCCAGTGATGGGTCAGCTAAGGTCGCTTGTCCCTTCCAACCCTGAAAGTGTGCATTTTAGGAAGCTAAAAATATATATGCATGTTTTTAGGACCACACATGATCATACCTTTCCTCAGATACATTTGGAGAGGATTTACTCCAGTTCATTTTGGGCGTGTAAGACTAACTGTGAAGTCCTGGGTTTCGTAGCATTAAATCATACAGCATGTCATTTGTATCTCTGGTCTCCCACTTACGGAGATTTTTTTTCCCTCGTCATTAAACATTATTTATAAAACATGATTTTTAATGTCCACATAATTTCCCTCGGTGTGGTTATTCCATCAATAATTTAAAATTTAATCTGTCCCTCCTTGTTGAACATTTTATTGTTTACTTTTTTTTGTTTACGGACATCCTTCTAGATCAATTTTCAGTGGAATTTCTGATTATTTGTATTGTGTAGAGTCTTAGAAGAGAAATGTTCTAGGTTGGAAACTATTGGAAAATATTTTGGTCATGTGTGTTGTGTAACTGGCTTCTAGCCTCTGTGGTGGCCTGTGTGTGAAGTGTCACCCACAGGCTTGGTGTTTGGATGGCTGGTCCCCAGCTGGTGGTACTGTTTGGAAGGTGAAGCCTGTCTGGAGGAAGGACGTAATGGTGTCACAGATGGGCGCTTCCTAGCCAGGCCTGTTTGTTCTCTGCGTCCTGACTGCCTGTGCCATGTGACCCTTCGGGTTCCTGCTCCTTAGGCCTGCTTCCCTCTCTGTGGCTGACAGTGGCCCTCAGGGACTGTGAGCCATAAGCCCTTTCTCCTGGAAGTTGTTTTTGGCAGGATATAGTGGCTCAGCCACAGAAAAGTAACCAAGTCACACCACCTAAATGTTGACCACCATACCTCTGTTTGATTTTTAGAGCTATGATTTCTTTTTAAATTAGAACATAACACAGAATAAGTACTCCTTCCTTCCTTCCTTCCTTCCTTCCTTCCTCCCTCCCTCCTTCCTTCCTTCCTTCCTTTCTTTGTTTTTGCAGTGGTGGGGACTAAACCCAGGGCCTCCCGCATGCTAATTAAGTACTTCCGGTCAGCTACACTCCCACACAACCTTTTGAAATTTTGATTCATATTTATGGGATCGTTAGGAAGATTGGACAGCCATTAAGAATTTTGAGTAAGTAGATCCTTGTAGCACATGGTTATAATCCCAGAACTCAGGAAGCAGAGGCAAGAGGAGCCTGAGTTCAAGTTCACCCTGAGTTATTTAGTACAACTGTGTCTCAAAACAAACAAAAAGAATTATAGTCAATGTATAATTGTTCATTAATGAATTGTCTTCTTGTCATAACTGCCGTCTGGTTTTTACACTAGATTCTTAAAACCCTGTGCACCACAAATGTATATGCTTTGTCAAGGGTTTAGCATTTAATCTGTTCCTTAATTTTAAGTTTTTAATAGTCAGTTTTTAAGTCATCGTCTTCTTCATTTTTAATTTCAAAATATTTAATGCTTAGAAAGACTTCTTCTCTACCAAAATATTTAAATATTGGCTTTCTAAATGTTTAGGGGAGTTAATTTTTACAGTAATTATGTAATTTCTAAAAATGTCTGTAGATGGCTCAGCGGGTAAAGGAGCTTGCTGTCAGGCCAGACAAACTGAGTTCAGTTCCCAGCACCACATGACGGAACTGCAGAGCTGACTCCGAAAGTTGTCCTCTGGCTTTACATCCGTGAACATGTGTTCATGCACACACATATGGCAGCTAGTTCCACTGCTGGTGACCCTCCTTCCCTCGTATTTCCCAGCAGGTAATAGCTCTGAAGACACTTTCTGTGCTGCTGTTCCCCCCCCCCTCTCTCGCTCTCTCACTCTCTCTCTCTCTCTCTCTCTCTCTCTCTCTCTCTCTCTCTCTCTCTGGTCTAGCAATTCTTCCTCCACCTGCACAACTTTCCATTCTTCTTGCTTGTAGGCAGATTTCAGTGCTTCACCTCACTCCTCTGTGGCTCCCTTAGCTCTTCCTCCAGTCGATATTTCTAAAATAACTATAAGAAAAAAACCATTTTATTAAATCCCTTTGGGGTCCCAGAACTCAGGAGGCAGAGGCAGGCAGCTCTCTGCGAGTTTGAAGCAAACCAGGTCTACGTAGTGAGTTCTAGGACAGCCAAGGCTATGGAGAGGAACGCTGTCTCAAAAAAAAAAAAAAAAAAAAAAAAAATCTGGGATTTTGGTTTGAGTTACAATAAATATACAGAATAATTTAGGGTAAATGACTTCTGTGCTGTAGCAGTGTCTTTCCACTCAGAATTGAACTCTACCTCCATCTGCTCGTCTTTTTCTGCCTCTTTCCTTTTCTTCACACAATTCCTGTTCATTTCTTACTAAGGTTATTCTTGGGTAAAGCAAGAATTTAATTATTTCTGTTTCTGAAATCATTGCAAAGTGACATTTTTAAAAGGAGGGTCCTGATTAGCTAAATTGGGGTTAGACTGTGAAAACCCAACAGAACCTGACAAGGCAGGAGTCATTAGTAATTAAATAATTTCATCTGAAAACTAATTGGATTAAATTAACTCATTTTAAGGTATTATTCTTCAGACAAGAAATGCCCAACTATTATTCTGATAGTG